AACCTGGATGTCCTCAAGAACAAAATTTTACACACCACCAATGCAACTTTCCTACGGCGCATGCTCGCGCTCATCCAAAAGATCACTCATCACAAGGACTTCCACAAGCTTCAAGCTCCTGCGCGAAGCTTCGTCGCTCAGGCAAACACCGCTGTCCAGGCGCTAAATAATGCGTACAACGAGAGAGTCTCGTCTTCACCGGTAACCATGGGGATAGATTATCCGCTGTCCAAGAAGTCCGCTGTACAGAGGTTTAACCAAGCCTACAACATCAACCAGAGAATCTCGGCCTCGCCAATAAACCTTGGAACTGTAAACCAGCTTTATGGAAATAACTACAAGAAGTCCACTGTCCAAGCCATGAATAACCAAGCATACAACGACAGGATATCTGCTACTTCACCGCTCAATATGGCGACTGGTAACCCGGTCTATGGAAATAACTATTCTGTATCCAAGAAATTCCAAATTGCAAGAAACCCGTATTACCAAAACTATTATCAATACAGACAACCTTACTACAGCAATTTGCAGAGTATGCAGTATGGCTTGTACAACGGCAATCAACCATAAGGAACGTGGTTTGAATCAGCTCGATTCACAGCTTAACTTTACAAGCCAAGGAGATGTCAGTTCTATGTTAAGGTTACTGCGTTAGTTCACATTCAAACAATCGATAACTTTTGCCCGTTGTCCTTGAGCTGGCGTAACGTAATTTCTCAGTGTTGTATGGAATCGTACGCTTATGTCATTGGGCTCCAAGGGGAAACTAGGCTTTAATGAGCCTGAACTGTAAAAAATGTTTGTCCAAATATGAAAGTAATATAAATCATTAGACTATTGTTTTGGGGTGTCCTCCAGATTAGTTTTATCCATCGCCAAAAAGAGTTTAGGAGACAAATTCCATGGGCTAACCGACTTGGAGTAAGGTTTCCATAAGACTTAGCTTACGTCATTAAAGGCAAACATGTTTTATTCACCACTGATAACCCTACGATTATAGTTCGCCATCACTTTCGATTTCTGCATCGACTAGCATTTTAAATCAGCCATGACAAAACTACATGACAAGGACTGTAAACACCCTAAGCATCTAGGAAGAAAATTTAATCATGGACATTGCCTCAGTCAGGATAAAAACTGAGCAAACGGGAATTTCTTTTGCATGGGACATTGGTTTACATTTCTGTACTGGTCTGCTGCTGACAGTCCTCAATACAAAACCGGTGTCTTTATTAGCACTAAAAGACATAAAAAGGTCAAAGAGTAAAATTAAATGCAACAATAAATTTCTATAGCCATATTCCATAAAGATCAGATAAGCAAACGAACAAAAATAGTCACTTAGGAGAAAATAGCTGTCCAGAGTCGATTCTTTTGAAACTAAAGCTAAAAAAATGTAAATATCTTAAAATCTGCATGAATTCAAACCCCTGATTACTACATGCAGGCTATGAGAATCATTGTTGTCACATTTGCGAAACAAATCGTGTAAACTTTTTTTAAAGTAACTTCGCAAAATAAAGGAGGAATATTGTTCACAACCTACGCAGTAGTAATGTAGATTTTTCAAATGCGCATTAAACGGTCTTAAGCCGTTATCAAGCCAATGATAGGTCGACTGGCTCGCATTGCCCTTTAATTAAACACCAATTAACCATTGTGCAACTGATCATCGACTTTCAACCAGTCTGAAAGTTTTTCGGTCAGGCATGATCATGTTTTAGCAGCATTTTAAATGACTTAACAGGGCTGGCTCAACTTGTTGTCGAAAGCGGCGGATCATGAAGGTCTGGGTACAGACAAGTTCCCGTAAACGAGAGGGCACCACTTTTCCACATATCAAGCAAAACAAAACAAGCCGCTATCTTCTGCGCGAGCTTGATTTTTGACTGTCGTTAACTCTTTCGCACATGCACCATCTGACCATGTGGAATGACAGCTGATGATAGTTAGAGGGGCAAGTAAGCCGCCTTGACTATATATCATCGACTTTCATGAGTCGTTTCTCCAGGGATTTGGAAATCCGCAGATTGTTATAACCGTCGTAGTCAGCTAGTCAACACTACAAAATAACTAGTATGATGCGTTATTTTATTAACAACTATTTGCTTGTCATCATAAAGGCTTTGTAGAAAAATAAAAGCTCTTAACATTTTTATTTCTGTATAGTTTCATGGTTCTGTTTCAATTCCCCGCCTTTTCAATTCCAAGAACCAAAACTATAAATTCTCCATACTGACTAGTAATGCAGTTTCCTTCTGTTCGTTCTAAGAATTGATCGTGACCCCATGTTTGCTACATGACACACAATATCTCGCAAACACGCAGACGATTTTTTGTACACGTATCAGTTCAATATTTGAAAGACCCGACAGGTATCGATCTTGAAGTGTAGAAATAAAAATTTGATCAATGGATTTTTGGGGTAAATCAAGCGGATTCGCGGATTTTGAAAACACTGTGGATCGTGGATCAGCTGTGAATTCTGGCGTGGATTCCGGATTCTGCCTGTCTTGATGTTCGGATCTTGGGTCCTAGACGAAATTTGGATCATAGGTCTTTCTTCAGCCTTGATCAGTATGCTAATGAGTTCATCCAAATTATTTCTTTTTTCCAACGAAGCTCATTTAAACTGTTATTGGAATTGTACTGTGTTATAGTCATCAAGCATGTTGCCTTGTTTACTAATTTGTGCAAAATTAACAATGGCATTCACATTTACCAGTTTACCTTTGAACTTTTACACTTCTTTTTTCAGAAGTGGTTGTGGTTTCAGATTTGAACAAAAATTTTGGCGGATCGACGGATTTGACGAAAAAAAAGGTACGGATCGGCGGATTTGCATAACCCTATTCACTCCCCTCCAAGTAGGTCTTGTTGATTGGAGAGCCAGCACTTTAAATGAAAAGAAAAGAAATTACTTTGCACTTATGTTTACACCCACTCACTCACACACTGATCATATAGGGGCGTGTGTAGACTTTCTAAAAGTCCTTTTTAATAATTCTTCCCTGGCCTGTTAGTTTCGCCGTTTTACGACTTCGTCGCTTGAAGAAATAATAAGTTAAGCACTGAGAAAAGGTTGACTTGTGGCAAGTCTAGGACGTGTGTTGAAGGGTCGAACGTCGAAAAAGTATATTTCCTTGTCGTACGTTCGCGAAACCCGAAACTTTTCGCGTTATGGCATGACCCTTGCACACACACTTAGACTCCGCTACACAGAGCATCAACCACGCATGGGCCCGCAATTACTCCCCAGGGTCAGTGCCTTGTAAAAAGAACCTACAAGTTCAACCGGATTGCAACAGACAAAGTAGATTCATCAATTCCAACAGTTGTAACGCTCAACCATCGTCATCATCACTGACAGGCGCAAACATAACGGGTTTGTTTGTTTGTTTTTCAAATTCTCTCAGGGATTTAGTAAGCAGGTATCAACTATGAAAATCTAACAAAATTTAAGTGTTTGGTTTGGCAAAATACTTGATTCCGTGTTTCAGTTCCTCAAAAGGTGACAATTTTCCGTTTGCTAGATGAATCAGTTCCACGTCTTGGCACCCGCTAAGGCTAATAATAAACGATCATTTCAGCCAATCACCAAACAGCCTTTCTTCCAGAAAGTGCCTACCTTACGGCAATATTTACCTCCAGTTCACCGATCTAATTGGTTTTCCTTGAACCCACATAACGTAATACCAAAACGTTGGGTGAGATATGACTCGAGCAACGCAACTGCCAAATTTGGCGACTTATTTCATGATAGATATCAAATATTTGTCGGGTTTTTGATTGCAATTTTGAGAGGTTTTAATCTCGATCACCCAAGCGGAACTGCGCCGTGTGTTTAAAATAATGGATCGCTTCACAGTTTCTTGGGTTTTGTTTGTACTTTGTGTGTGTTCTGCGCTAGGAAAACCGACAAAACAGAAGTCGTCGCACTCAAAAACGATGGTTAAAAGATGGGACCTTATTCTCGAGCATGACCGTAAGTTTCATTGTTAATGTCGATGTCTCCTTTAACTGAAGTGTTTAAACTTGAGCCTCGAAATCCAAATGTTGTATGTGTACTCCACGGAGTTGGCGTTTATATAAGACACATCAAAAGAAACAAAAATGATTCTAAAACGCCAATTCCGTTACTAACAGCAGGACCATTAACACCAGCTGGTCTTGCCGGTTTAGAATTATAGCAACGCTAATCAATTAAGGGCATGCATACACTTCTATATTTTCGTTTATGTGGCGATGCATGAAACTGAGCAAAATGAGCTTAGGAAATTGGCTGTCTGAGCAAATGAAATACTTTGTAGAAGATACGAGTAATCTTTGTTTTGCCACTGATTGACATATTTAGTAGTGGGCGGGTATTGAGAGTAGATGGCTTGGATTTCAAAATATTGAGGCCTTGCCTAGTTTGATTGTTGCAAATAAAACTTGATCTCCGCCTCGCTTGTCGGTTGAAGTTTGAATTTTCACCCTAAACGTTGGACGTTTTATGGTAAAATGCTTTCGTCGTAGTTCCTAAGGCTTGAAGGCTTCGGGATAAAAAGCAAATATTACAGAACCCGGTTATTCAAGGGCGGGGTGAATTTGGGAAATCACTACCAGGGCTCCAGGCTGAAGGTCCTTAACGAGATTTTGTCCTGTCTCCGAGAAACGAGAAGCCTCGACCTTTGGTATGTTAGTATCTTTGGGACATTGACGACTTTAAAGGCAACCCTCATAATTTAATCGTCAGAGCGTTCTGTAAAATTAACTCAGGCCAGTCGTGATGTAAACTTAACCCATTTGCGAATCATTTTTGCATGCGGTGTTGTGCTATGTGTAACAGTAACTTCATATCGAGTCAATAAAAGATCTGATCCAAAACCAAATTCTCTTAAAGACAATTGATTTGAGAAAGATGTGAGGAGAATTTGCACTTGGACCTTCGGGGCAACAGTGAAGTCCAAAAGGGAGTGAACACGTAGGAAAAAACAGGCCACTTCATTCTATTTGGAAGGCAAAGTTACGCAATGTGTTCAATTCATCGTTTTCTTTTGACAATATACGACTGAAAGTGTACAGTGTGAAACTTTGCACCGAAAACGAACAATTTCAATTAAATTTAAAACTCCGGCGAACCTGTATTTAAAGCAAAAATTTCTAGCAATATTTGAGAGTACATGGTAGGTGTAATATGGATTATGTCAATCCCTAGAAAAGTCGCTGCAAATCTTTTGACTCATACCAACACTGACCCTACACACGATAGGTAGGTAGGTAAAGTCTGCATTCTAGTCTTGTGGCCCGTCAGACTAAGGTTTGTCTCAACAAACGCAACTGAATAGGGGTATTTCTTCTCCCCACTGAATGGAATGCTAGTCCACCCCAGGGTTACCCCCAGCATTAAATTCGCCGGTATCCAGCTATTGAACACGCGAAAAGAGGCGGACACTGTCAGAGTGAAGTGTGTCACTACGCAATTAGCCAGTATCCAGTGCAGTTAAAAGAGCTCAGGTGGAGATGCTTAAATTTCAGTTATCAGTTAAGTTTTCCGCTATTTTTCGGCCAGCAGCAAAACATTAATCCGTTTTTCCATGAGCTATGAGCTAAATTTGTCAGAACACAGCAGCCAGGAGACCCCACCCAGACCCCCTATACAGCACCAGTACAGAGATATGAAAATGAAGGCGAGTATTTTTGCCCAAGTAAACATAGCGAGCAATTTCCTAGGCCACAATTGCAACTTTCGATGTCTAGAAAATCTAGAGGCCCACATTTCAACCTAACCTGGGGTGTTTGTTCACTTTGTTTCGCCGACATGATTATAAACATTTTGCAATAATCCCTTGTAGGAGTTTGACTTAAATTCACTGAGCATATATCGAATTCTGATTCCACTGTGATTACTTCAAGCCATTAGGCTGGCTAATTATATAGTTTTTCGACGTGTGATAAGATTAAGCAAAAGTTGGCGAAAAAGTATACCTTTTTTATACGATCTAAAAGCCGTTTTTCGCCCTGTAGCTCGCGTTTTTAAAGTGTACAAAAAAATTAAAGTGGCCGAAGGGAAAAACACACAGATACATATAGAAGACAAAATTTACCTGCTACTTCTTAAAGGATCGTAACATTTTTAACAGGTATTTGCTGTGTATAAGTTGAAAAAAATTGACATGCAAAAGAAAACATATATAATTCATAAATTTAAGGCTCTTCTCGTAACGTAAGAGAGACTGTAAAGCGCGCGCGCGTACGGCTGGTGTTGTCAACCGTAACAGTCCTAGTAATTTTTCACATCGTGTTAAGTTGGCATTGGACCTTCGGGCGTCGATTCCGCGATGAGGTTGAGCGTTATTTTGATTCTTCTCGTGCTCATTGCAATTTGCACGGCTAAATCGTCGAAGAGCAAGACGCAGAAAGTCGTGAAGAGCAAAACAACCAAGGCGAGCGATGACAAAAAACACGAGAAAGCGCACAAAGACGAGAAACAACATAAGGACAGCGACAAACACAAGGACAGCAAGAAACACAAGGATATGGACAAAAAACATGATACGAAGAATTTGAAGAAAGAAAAAAAACCTCAAAAGACGAATGATAAGGTCTCCAACAAGACAAACGCTGTAGAAAAGAAAGAAAATAGCACGAAAGGTAAACCTCATGTTCATTTATTTTCTTCGAAGGTTTTAAAATCCAATTGGGATCCGTTTGATCACCGTCAAGAGGTGTCACTGTGTTATGACAGGTACCTGATATTTTCTCAAAATACATTTATTGTATTCCGTCTAACGAATTTTGAGCTATTCCTTACTAGAATGCGAACAGGAAAATGGTCCCATTTGCCTTTTTACAATTAAGTGCTAGTGCAATTGGGGTAAACCGTTTAGACGAAGTGGAGTAGCCTAAGGGTAGCTCTGGGAAATGGTCCAAACTAATATATCCACTAACCACGCCAAAAAGTATTAAATTACTGTCTTCTATCTTGAGGAATTTCTACTCCCTCTCGTGACTGCGAGGAACCTTGAATCGATCGCAAAGACTTCAAAATGACGACGATTTACACACGAAGTTCAACACTTTCTCAATGTAAATTCATGTTTGAGAAGTTTGTCTAGTCACCTCAAGCGTTCAGTGTTACTGACTTATGGCCAGAACTATGCAGTGAAGTCTCTACTTCAAATGCCAATGGCCAGTCTCAACAAGTTTTAATAGTGAATCTTGCGAAAACTTTTCTCAAGACGCCAAGGTCAAGACCAGAGGCCCTTGTGAACATGCATCATTCATGATTTTCCTCGGAGATACAAATGTCTATATTAGTTGAATTGCAAACTCTTAATATTCCTCGAACGGGGCAGCATGTGTTTCATTTACGTATCGAATACTAATAGTGTTGACTGTGGCCCTCAGAATATGTTGACCCTATATATAATATAGAGTGTGGTGTATAGTTGTTCATTTGTTGCCATAGGAACATGCATAGCTACAGGAGGGAAGTGTTAAGTCTACGGATAGAAGATCGAAGAATGTGCTTTAAAAATAAATAGTTATCCATTTTACATCTTAGTCAGCAAGCATTTAGAATGGGCATTCTATCTTGGATGTAAGCCGCATGTCCTAATATATATTATGGTATGATAACACAAAACGAAACAAACTCGTTTTTGATTTCAACAAAGTTTCACTGGCTACTTTTATCCTTTGTTGAGCATTAGAACTACCAAACCGTACTTTGCAGCACATGGAAAAGAAGGTAACGTAACCCAGGCAAAGCTCTTGAAAAAACGCACTTTTCTACTTCCTTAGATCAAACAGCCTTTACTACTATGCTAGGTAGGTTAAGCCGGAAGGGGAGTGTGACACAGGAATAAAAGTAGACTTTCTAAAAGTCGTTTCCGTTAGTTCTTCCCTGGCTGGTTGGTTTCGCCGTTGCTCGTGCTCGCGATCGTCGCTCGAAGATACCCCCTCGCCTCGCTCGAGGGAGATGAATAAGCGAAGGGTTCGCGAAGGTCGGCTTGTGGCAAGTCTAGAGTGAAGAGTGTGGGTGTTTAAGGCTATTTTTACAGAAATTAATGTGACGCTGACTTAACAATTTACTCTTGGTTTCCACGACAGCAATCCTCTTAAAGAGCCCACCGTCCGATTGCCAGAACATTATCGACGACTACTCCAATGGCAAGCTGCTCATGTACGAATACAAAATTCAAATGTCGCGCTGCATGAAGAAAGCCAAAGATGACGCAGGTAATTGAATTTCATTGGTGGTAAGATGATTGACAGTTCATTGATTGACAGAAGACACACGAGTACAAACAACTTCAAAGAGTACCTGATCATGAGCAAAGGACTAAAGTACGAACAAGTCCCCGTCACTCGACGCCAGAGAAATTTGAAAACGCAGGTTAGGCCTACCGTCCATACTAGCTAATCCGTTACGAAAACGGAGCTTTTCCAAATCGCTCTTCAAACCGGAGGAATATAAAAACGCCGGCTTTGAGTTCGAGTGTGGACGGAAAACATTTTGAAAACGAAGCCGTCACGATGATGTGATTTCCCTGCGTGGGTTTTCATCAAACGCAAATCCAAAATGACTGGTAATTGTTGTGTTTTCAAATTTATCTGGCCTAGTGTGTCTAGCGTGGATGAAAAATAGTTGAGGCGTTTTCAGAATGAAATGAAAACGCCGTTTCCAAATTTCAGCGGCTTGGTGTAGACGGGGCCTAATGCGCAGGACAGGTAATGTAGTGAAGATGCTGCTAAAGGGACAATGTTATTTGCAAGGAAGATAAACAATTACAATAATCATAGAGCATCTTGGCCAATTCGGAGCTGTTATGTCAACCATATCTCTGTAATCCGAACGCAAAAGCACTGTATGGAACAGAAACAACTGCGATCGCTGCTATTGTGCTTGATCTTGATCAAGTCCCGAATCCCTGCAGCTGGTCCCGTGCAGATTATTCAAAAAAGGCAGTTACATAAAGCTTTAATTTCATGTGGGGCTCTTATATGTGGGCTCAGTCAGGGTTGCCACAGACTTCCCTGACTTTTCCTTTACTTTTCCATGATAAAAATAAGTTTCCCTGACCAGATTAACGCAAAATATGGGATAAAGTAGCGGCGGGTAGCTGCCCTTAGCCTCCTTCTACATCTGTCCTTTTCACCTTGACAGTAAAATTTCTTCGTTGAGATCACAACAGTAGCCTAAAATGTTTCATCCAGCCTTTGACGGTAAAAAGCGGCCGTGTTATATTATCAATTTACCCTCACTTCTCTTCAAAATGTACATTTTCCCTGAGTCAGGATAAAATACCCTGACCGAGTTTCCCCATAGCATTTCCTGACCTGTGGCAACCCTGTTAGTTTTATAGACCTTTCCCGCATTCCACCACAGGGCGTAGGAACAATTATACTAGAATCACAAGCTTCCCAAGCCCAAAAAGCGACTCTGCATACGGGGTGTACGAGACAGCTTGTGTATATAGGGAATTGTATGGGAAAGTCACCGATCGTAAAAAATAATTGTGCAAATAACTATCTAATTTGAAATAAAATTTTCCTACCTCAAATTTTTCGCGTACTTGTCTCTTGTGCCGATTTTGCAGCCATTCTGACGCCGTTTAGTGACATTATTTGAAACCATTGTCTCCCCTTCTAAAGGAGGGGAACTTTCCTTCCTTTTTTTTTTTTTCCTTCTCTTTTTTTTATGATCGGTGACTTCCCCATACAGTTATCTATATACACAAGCTGTCTCATACACCACGTATGCAGAGTCGAATTTTAGCTTGGGAGCCTGTGCCAGAATCAGGCTAGGGTGGACATTTTTGTTCACCCTGACCTCGATTAAGTGATATTGTCTACTGGAATGCGCGAAAGAGCAAATCAACGTCCGTTGGGGATAAATGCGTGACAATGCAAAGAATGTCTGCAAAGGAAGATACCCATTTCTGGCTCTTATTAAGTAAGCACTGGAGTAGTGATGCTAACGTAATGCCCCAATCTAACACATAACAAATAAAACTTAGACGTAAGGGTCTCCACTTATAACACTTTACACATAAGGGCACTAACATGATAGATTTCATTCCAGTAACCTACTAACACCTAACCTACGTAACATTGTATAAAACATTAATAACAGAGGGTACATCCGACGCTGACGTGAAATCAGCACTCTTACGTCCTGATGATCAGCCAAGAGAAGACACTGATCAGGCGATCAATGTCAGACCTTACAACAGTGACCAGAGTACAGCGACTGAACAAGACTCTGAAGACGACTATCAAACTGATAACAGCGACTTTAGCGAGCATAATAACGATAACGACAATGACTACGGTGATGATGATGATGACGATGAAAGCTACGACCATGACGAACAAGCAGGTGACTGGACGAGTCAGTATAAACGAGTTTGAAAACTGCGAAAACAAATTTATAGCTCTAAGCTCTATTAACAGTAACCTCTAACAGCTGCTAACCATAACAGTGTTACCTGTATCAAGAAGTTCTGCTTGGTGCCAAGAACTAGCATTGCTTGTTTTAACAACACAATTTGCCAACACAACTCGGGTGTTATGATTTTCGAATTCCGTAATTAACCAAACAGATCTGATGAGAACTCACGGCTGTCATGCAGACCAGTTACTATATACGTCGTCTTGGAAAGAGTATTGATGGAAAAGGAGTTAATTGGAACAAAAATTTCGATTTCAGTCCCAGGACGCCACACGTACCGCGCTCGACAAGACACCGTTTAATTGTGGGGTGACTTGTTTTTTTCGTTTGTTTTTTTTCTGGGAAGGGGAAGGGCAACATTGGCAACAACAAATTTTCGAGTGTAACGTAACCGAACTTTGCACTTTTTAGGAAAGAGCACAGTTTGGGCACACAAAAGAAAAATTTTAACGAAACTCTTCAAATTACCTCAAGTACTATTGAACCATGAGTGAAGGAAATTCATTTGTCTTGGATGATGATGCTGTCGTGATGCGAATCTTTTTATTCTACGTTCGTCTTTGTTTTTCCCGCTGTAGCCAAAAAGATGCAAGTCCCTGCAACCGCAGGCTACCAGACTCCCGACATTTTTGTGCAGGCAAACACGATGCCAGCTCAACAGCAAGTAATGCCCGGACAACAAGCCGCCTCATACTACCCCAACACGGGTAAAGTGCCAAATTCACTTAATTAAACTTACATCCGATAGTTTTGAGGCGAAATAGAGCTGAAATAGCTTGACCGAGGTTGACTCACACAAGACTGGATTGTTGCATAGCAACACACATGACGTACTATGACAAGGGCACAAAGTACTGAACTTGTCACCTGCTTGACAATATTTAATACGTTACGTGTACATTTGACTTAACTGGAACGTCAATTCATTTTGATACAACAACGCAAAAAAAGACACTCGCGCGCTGTGTAAAATGTCAGAGGCGGATCTAGGATTTTTTAAAGGTGGGCGGGGGGCGGAGGGGAGGGTGGAGGACAATCAGCATGGCGAGCTTACAAAATGCTGCAATTGAGAATTGGAACCTAATTGAAAAGTACAAAGAAGTTACGAGTGGTGCCTGTCCAGTATTGGCCTTTATTTCTCTCATAATGTTAACAATCTTTTTCCAATTTTCTTTAAGGAGGTGGCTAGCCACTCAATCCATCACCCACTCCTCCCTAAATCCACCCTCCTCTAGCTGCAAACCCTCCTTGCATCACTCCGGCCGTTAGAAACCTTTACTATTAGAAAACAACTAGACTAGTGGAATGTGAATGAAAAAGATCAATTGTATTTCAAAAAGGTTTGTTCCATTAAATTTACTGTTTTCAGCCCAGATGCCATATAGTGGGGCTCCTGCACAGAATCCAGTACCAGAGCAGAGTCAAGCAGCATTCGTGCCTAGTCCCATGAACCAATACCCGGCCAATCCTTCTGCTGTTCAACCAGCTGATCCAAACATGGGCATGAATGCCGTGGCCAAGACTAACATACCAGAGAACACACAGGTTAGGGTTCATGTGAGGCTCAGCTGAATTTCCATTTTTCCCACGAAAGTCAGCTGTGTGCGTTGTGTGTAAATAAGTAGTTCAGCTATGGGTTGGGTGATATGGTTCTTTGTTACGGAGCGCTTTTCAATCGAGTGTCGTAAACCAAAAACCAAACCAATTACTTACCAGTTGGACTACTCAGCCAATCTCAAGGTAAGGTAAAGTCTGCATGCGAGCCAAGTGGCCCATCAGGCCGGAGCTTATCCCGGTTTCTGTTGCATGAAGCGACTAGGAGTATTTCTACTCCCCNAACACAACACAATGTCCCCGGCCAGGGCTCGAACCCGGACCGCTCGATCCGGAGACGAGTGCACTAACCATGAGGCCACCGCGCCTCTCAAACCGTAGTAAAATAAAAGTAATCGTCTTGTTGCTTTCGACACTCAATGAAAACCGCTCCATAGATCTTGATGAAATACCGGGATTTTACTTGTTCGTAAAGCTTGATTTTTACGTTGCGCGAAGTGAAGACACTGTATTTCCCGTGTGAGGATATTGATATTGTTCTGGTTACAGACATGTCAGCCAATAATATTAGAGCATCCCGAACATCACTTAAGTTGAATTCGACTTTTTTAACACAGAAAATAACATTTTATCGAGAAGCAAACGTACTTTATGGGTAGTCATGTAATATCCCTGTGTAATGCAGTGATTTAATTTCGGATATATTGTGGAAAGCGTACTTTGAGGAGTTAATTTATCCGGTTTTTTACAATCCTACTCACGATCTGCCCCAAAACACCTCTCTGCCTAACTAAACATTCCTGCAAAATTTTGGTAATAATGACTTGATTAAGTATATCCATGATATTCATTTAGCTCCAGCCCCCTGCAAACCAAGCAAATGCAGTCTTCGACCAATGGCGTGCTAGCAGTTTTGGCGCAGTATCCGCTGACAAAAAAGATCAAATGCCCAGTGCACCTGTTGCTCCTGTAAATGACCAGTTTGCCGACTTTATGAAGCTGCAGTCGTCCAGCAGTAACCCCGCAGAGGCATCGCCTGCGAGCCAGCAGGCTGCTATGCCAGCAGCGATCCAGCAAAGAACTGAAGTTCCACAACAGCCAAATATGTTTCCCGTCCAGCCCCAGATCCCCAACACCGTCCCGGCCCAAGGCCAAGCCTTTTACATGCAACCAGAAGAGCATGGAGATTTCCCTGAAAATCCATGAGAATAAAAGTTCTCAGTTTAATAAATGACTCTTGAAGGTAGTAACATAACTTAACTCACCATGTGAAGTGTTCTGCCATGCAAGAAATTTTCTCGTTGGAGAGGTCACGCTCATTTTAGAACGAGTTGTCAGTACATGTCAGACAGTCGTTCATTTTCATACAGTGACCGTTTGCCGGAATCCGGTCTGCCTGTTCATGCCGGTCTCAACCTTACTGAGAGACTTTACGACTGATAACTGCAGCAAAATAAAGATCTTATATTTCTAACACTTCGTTTTGTTGGTCAGTCGGTCAGATATCTCTCGCGAAAGCGCAACGATTAAAAGTCACATGCAATTTTGCGCTGCATAGCCTCCCCTGCCCCCCTTCCAGATTTCATTCCATTTTAATAGGCCCTTTGCAGGATACGGTCACAGGGTACGGAATTAATTATGCTGGGACGCACGTTACACAGTGGAACGTTCAAAACAAAGGAAATTCAGGCTGGACTGGTACGAGTTCCTTTGTTTTGGAAGTCCCACTGTGTAACTTGTGTCCCGGCATAATTTATTCCGTACCATGTGACCGGATCCTGTAAAGGGCCTATCCTTACTTCATCATACGAGTGAAGGCATACGGTGACTGTTTAACCCATCTGCTGGACAATGCACCCTCAAATCTTTTATCCAACCTGGGATTTAAACCCAGACCACGACCGCGACAAAGTCACATCGTGTACATTGTAGGATTTCACATTAGAGTGTTTCCAGCACGCAGGCCTCAACAGTCAGACACCCTCTCTAGGGAAAGGGATCCCTTCGCGTTCGGCTTATCCCTTGTGTATCACCGAAAAAAGGGAACTGTTTAAAGAATTGTCACTTCGGGATTCAATTCGTGTTACGAGAAAAAAATAAAGATCAAAGGTTCTCGGGGAATGGACTAGTAACCCTAACAAACTCGAAGACTCTTTTCGCGCCAAACGTTCTACGTGACCATTTGATTGCATCACCACCACATTTTTTCAATGTTATTCCGTGTCTTTGTTATTCTTTTACATTTATATTCGCTCACAATTTTATTCATCTTGGACTGGATAACGACGTTGAGCGAACGTCGGAACGTCGCCACAACATTTCAGCTCTTTTTAACTCTTAACCAGATGGTTTTAAGGTTCCCAACAATTTTTTTCGCAATGTTTTACAGTTGTAAACCTCAAAAAGACTCAAGTTTCCCTTGTGTGACCGAACAGATGAAAATATTATAGTGCAGTCTTAAAAAAAACTTTAAAAGCACTACAGTTAGCCTAACAATCGTGAACATTGAGAGAAAAGCATGGTTGGTCGGTTGGTGATACGTCCGTTAGACTAAATCACATGGGCGGAAATCGTTACCAAAAAATCTGCAATAAATCAACTCCCACTACCCGGCAACTAAGTGACCACTGATGAAGCCATTCAAACACACGTTCATTGCTGTCTGCACGTGACGCCGTGTCGCACGAAATACTTGCGAGTTCTTATTTTTGCGGTTTTTTTTTCCCACAATGGGCAAAAAATGATTCCTACAAAAATTTACTCCGCTGGCAGTCAGTTACTCTGGAGATGAAGACGAAGCAGAATACCGGTGTGTAAAATAAAACTAGAGGGATAATGCACTAGGTGATACCGAGGTCGTATTGCTGTCGTATTGCTGACCCATTGCGGTTGCAATCAGCCACACAAGGACAGGAAGTAATCTCGGTATGTTTCACTAGTCAATAGGCTATTTCCGAGTTGCCTTTTGGCTCTGCTGCAAAACCATTCATGAGAAAATTTGTGGCCCCTACAGGTTCATTTTCATGCAAATCAAACTCGGATGACTCGTTTTGAAACAGAGGCCCGAGGTAACTCCGAAATGGCCCATTGCATATACCGCGTTGCAAAACGTTCTTTGCGATCTCTGCGGTTTTTTTTTTTCCACCATCCCCAAAAAAACGTTACAGGAAAAAAAATGGCTCCCGCAAAAACCTTCAACTGGCGGAATTTACACCCGCTTTTAGTGTTACGTGCATAGGCGACATTCTCTCAACATGCCATCTCTCGACCTGCTATGTAACCTGACCTACTCAAGATCCGTAAGGACAGACTTCTTTACGGTCGAACTCGAATTGCAGTGATGAAAGATTGATTTATTTGACATCAAATTAAGGTTTGGAGTATCAAGAAGTCATTCTGGGAGAAATAAGTCGACTAGTTTGAAATGTTTACACGTTGCGAACATTAAAAGCAGCAGCGGCCCAATTCTACCGGAAGTCACTATTGAGAACCGATCGCTACACTAACCTCGCTTGAATTATCCCGTAAATAGGATAGCATGCAAAGTCCACAATCTTCTTCAGCCATTTGAGGTAATTATCATTTACTTGTCATTTCCTTCGTTAATAACCCGAAAAACTACCAGTCTCACAGTTTAACGGTCTTTCATAGCATGCCGAAAGATGGAGCCTCGTACTGGGATGTCTGTATTCTGACAAAATGTCGCCAAGGCCAGATCGCCTCACCAAGGATTACCCGAACGATGGTTACTCAGATGTAAACTAATCATTCAGTTGGATTCCTATAACACCCAGAGCTAAAGATTATTGATTACTACCTTTCAAAAATGGCTTATTGAATCAGTTTTCGGGTAGCAACGTCGCTTCAGACCTCTCTCCCCTGAGACATCGAACGAATAGCCACCCATACAGGCAGTTCATCCCACGTGGGGGAGGAAAAACTTCATAACCAAACTAGCGTCCATTGAGAGTTTACTCCCAAGATAGGCACCGGCCAACTTTACGATCACTTCAACTGCTAATTAGAAGGAAGTAGTGCTTGTCGCCAATTTCTTAAAGAACCACTAAGAGGTACAAAGATCCTTTTTTTATGGGTGCGGCTTGAAATATTCTTCAGCGCCGAGGTACCAGTACTAAAACAACACAAGCTGACGCTTTCATACTTTTTACTAGCAATAAGACGATAGTTAATGAGAAAACCTTAAAAATCATTTGATTTTTCGGCTCAATTTGAATACAAAAGCTCCTGATGTGGACCTTTCGAGGCTGAACACCCCAAGAGGTACCAAAAGCACTTTTTTAGCCCTTGAAGGTATGACAGGCCACCCCTGTCCTTTTTACATGGGAGTTCCCCCACCTCGGGCGGTCATATCCCAACGAAATCAACATCTCGGTTGAAAAGCGCACACATTTTCTTCAGAACAAGGCAGGCATTCGCATTATTCACTTATTGAATTTGATGGGATGTTCTGCCTGTTTAGCAGGCTAAATGAATCCTGTGAAAAAGCCTGGAAGTCGATTTATGATGACCACCTTTATTACTTGCGACTGTTAAAGAAAGTATACATTTAAAACAGTAAAAGTAAATTTAACACTAATCATACACTTACCCGACTTACCAATATCAAAAGTCTTACCACAGCTTCCAAGGGTCTTAGCCTTCAGGCAGCTTGGTTTCTACAACTGCAGATATTTGGAGTGTTGACTAAGGTCCTGCCAACTCCTGGACAGTTACAACCAGAGATGGACTGAAGAGAAGGGAAAGGGATACCTGGGCCTTTCCTTTCGTTCCTGACTTCCACAGAAAAATTTAAACTTTGACACAGATGTCGTTGCATGGCCTCCTTCAAGCTTTTGCTCCCTTTGGGTTTGATCAGAACAATCGCTTATTCCCTTCGACACATCGAAAAAAAAAAAAGCAAAGAAAAATCCAGCCTTCAGATGACAATTGAGGTGTACTTCATTTCGAGTTCACCTACAAGCTCTGGATGAAACTTCTATACAGGGCACGCCCCCAAAGAAGGGCCTTAAAAACAGGGCCTCAAGATATACGTGAAGACTGAACGAAACGATTTTTCTACTAAAAAAAAACAAAACAAAACTGAGAGGTACAGAATAGGCAACACCCGTCGGCATGTCCCCTTGATCCGATAAAGTTGCCTGCTTGTGAAGAATAGTTTATATTGCAGGGTAAAACCGAATTGCTGGGAATGTTCGAATATTTCATGGAAATTATGTCCCAACAAGGAACTACAATTTTATTGCCTTTCGCGAAAATTTAATCCCAATAAAAGGCTATAAATTTTGCTCTGATTCAACTTTATGTAAAGGGTTTGAATTCAAAATGGCCAAGTCATACAGGCTCTTGTACACTCCATGTACTCAGTAAGCCATTTGAAAGGGTAACCTAAACATTTTTTGGTTATGTACAGGTTGGGCATCCTGGTTACTTGTACCAAAAGCCCAGTTGTGCAACGAAAGGCTGCTAAAATAACTACTTTCAATCAATTTTTCAGTCTGTCATTTCTACTCTACACAGTACAAACAGTTTTATGGTGTTTTGGTAAATCAATTGGCAGGAACTTTTTACCAAGCAAGAACATCATAATTCAACAGGGAGCCAAGATGCATTTATAATACTGGCTTTCCATGGGACTAAGAATTAAGAGGCTGCCGCAGGTGGTTTACAAAGACATAATCAACATTTCTCGCTACACTATTAAATTTCAACAGTGAAGGTTGTTAAGATTGCAGCATAGGCGAAACAAAAATGTTGGAAAAAGTAGAGGGGCCAGAGAGTCACTTGCCACAAGGAATTATTTTTTCTTTAAGTACACTTTGTTCATGTACACCATAAGACAGCAAAATGAACCCTGGAAAGATTTTAAAACACAGCACGCTTTCCTGGTGTATAATTCTTCTCAATCAAAAAATGCTCAGCTGTGAAGCTGTAAATCACAAAATGCTTTTAATTCATCAGAAAGGTTTTTGGAATCATGAAAAGTTGCATGGACATTCACATTTGTGAATTTTGTCACGTTGACAGTTTTGATGACGTCAAATGCAAACCACCCTCTAAAAGTTGAAGTTGCAACAGGAAGTCTATGAATTTGAGAGATCAGATTGTTTCTCATTTCCTATCTCTCATCCAGGGTATGCTGACCCACTGTTGCTTTAATTCACCGATTTCCATTACTTGCACGGACACAGCAAAACGTTTTCTTTTAATGCAATACAGTAATCCGATATTGGGCTGAATAAACAAACCAACAACTCTCTGATGAACAGATAAATTATAAAAACGAGCATTTGAAACTAAATGCTTTGAGCTACACTCTAGGCAATATCAACATAAAATGATTGCTGGACTCGATATAGTGAGACTTTTCTGCATAACTCATGGGTCGTGAACTGGAACTTGAGCGAGCCAAACATCGTAAGCTGAGGTTTTCAGAGCACATGGAACAACGTAACA